CAGACTCTGCCACAAGTGCTTAGCAGAAGCTAATTTTGACAGCATCCTTGAGGATTTCCACACAGAACATTCCCCTGTCTCCTCCACAGGGAACAAACTCCCCAAATGGGCTTTGGAGGAGGAACAGAAATCAGATGAAGAGACAATGGAGGAGAAGCCTTACAACTTGGTCGTCCGACACGCTAATGATGATGTTCCAGATGAGGCAGAGGAAAAGGTGAAACCAAATCTTAGGTAAATCTGTTTGTGTGTTTGTTGTGCTGGAGATAAAATTACTCCTGTCCTACCAATTCATGCTGGTTTACTGCTTTCATTACAATCAGATACTGGTGAAGTTCTAGTCTGAGAAGCAAAATTTGGACTCAAACAAGTTGTTTTGTACTTGCAGACATGGAACAGTGTAACTGCTGCTCAATATCACCCAGAAAGTACTGAGAATCACAAGGAGCTGGATCCACAAGGATCATCCAAGGCCAAGTTCTCACTTATTATCTGGAAACTCTTTAGAAGAATTGGTTTATTTTTCATCCCAGACTTGCTCAGAGCTGCTGCTCACAGAGAAGGTGTGAACCAATTTACAGTTCTCCACAGGTTCTGTATGATACAGGTCTTTAAAAGACAAACATTGACAATTTGCTTTGAAAAAGTTTGACTGCAGAAGCAGCTGGGAAATGTCAAAACACTTTCCCCTGCTGACATTGTAATTAACTTGTACATACACCAAGACTCCCAGACTTGCTCAGAGCTGCTGCTCACAGAGAAGGTGTGAACCAATTTACAGTTCTCCACAGGTTCTGTATGATACAGGTCTTTAAAAGACAAACATTGACAATTTGCTTTGAAAAAGTTTGACTGCAGAAGCAGCTGGGAAATGTCAAAACACTTTCCCCTGCTGACATTGTAATTAACTTGTACATACACCAAGACAGGAGCAAACAAATGGAGTTCTGCTGAAGAACCTGTTTACCAGAGATTTGTCTTCTGAGTGAACCTTCTGCTTCTTAGAGCTGAGGAAAGCATGACTGAAGCCATACAGAGTAGAGAGTGACCAGAGCATCTGTAGTGCACTTGGGTAGTAGGAGTTTGCCTCTTTTGTACTGTGAATTTTATAGCAAGATACACCAACTTGGTTCCAAGGAAATAAAAGTGCAATCACTGCAAGTACACGTGTCAAGGTTCCTCTATTTTTTCCCAGGTACAAGATTTGCTTAAACTCCTGTTTATCTTATCCTAGGAATAAAGACACCTAGTCCCTTTAATTTCAGTGGGACACTTGGAGATCATGGAGCTGCTTTTCCTACTCTTTTAAATTAGGGATGCTTGACAGCATAAAAACATTTATTTATAGGGACAAATTCCCTCAGAGGTTAAGGATCTTTGAAATTCTGGAGTCTCTTCAGCTTTTTTTAGTCACCATATTTTTTCCCCAGTCATTTGGATCAGAGAACCTTCACTTGGGGGAGAAACTGAAAATACTCACTAGTAAAGTGGTTTGAAAAATAATCTCTGGGGGAATGTATAGAAGGAACATTCTGAGAGCAGAGAATGGCACTCCCAGGAGGATATCTTGATGAAGAGATATGTTTGGTCTCATATCTCATTAGATGCTCTTTCCTGTTAGCAGCATCTGCAGCCTGAGGTTACTGCCAGACAAGTAAAAATTCCCTATAGAGAACCTGAGAACAGCCATATAGATTCTCATCAAGTTCTCCCTGTCTCCAACAGTTGCCATTAAACTAGGAAAAGGGCAAGCCTGGATAATAATCCCCTAATGCTCTCTCAACTTCAGCCTTTTCAAGTGTCAGCCCCATGCTGATTTGTCCTAATATCTAACTAGAATCTGCCCTGTTTCAGCTTATGGGACTCACCTCCCTCTCCAGCCCTCACCTCCTGGGGGTCCTGCTGCTTTGAGAGGAAAGTCCAGGGACCATTCCTTCTGAGCATCCCAGGCTTCACTCTCCTGCAGTGCTGGAGCCCCCAGGACTCTGCCTGAGGAGGGAAGAAAACCCAGGGTGTGAAGAACTTACTGATTTTGTACCATCAAACTGGCACAGTGCTATTCTTAGTGACAACAGAGTCCACTCACCCCAGTGAGAGCAAAGCACAAATGTCATTCATTGGTGTTTGAGTTCACAGGTCAAAATTACTCCCACACATTAGCTCTTACAGTCTGAGTTTATTTCAGCATCGAGGCTTAAAAAAAGAAGAGGGATTTTACCCCTCAGTCTTTAAAATATGGAGATAAAACCTGATCTATTTAAGATGACTTTACAGGATGAGACATTGCCTCCAGATCTGAGGCACTTAAAATAAAAACACCAAAGAGGTGAGCACTCTGCCCCTCATGTTTAAACAGCAGCAGGAGAGAACACACCCTTCCCATCCTCTGATTGGGAACAAAACACCCTGCTGATTATTTCTGGTTGATTTTGATTCAGTGAACTCCATGATCCTTTGACATTCAAGGACTGTATTATCCTTCCTAAAGGAAGACAACGAGGCTGAACCAAATCACCTGATTTTCCAAAAAGAATCAGTTTGCACAAGACACGGCTGGGAGTGAACCCTCAGGCAACCTGGGGCCTCCCACCACAGCTCCCTACTTTTTAATGGGATAACAGCTGCTATTAGGATTCCATGTCCATGGAAAATTAGGGAAATTTATTTACAGCCGTTCAGCACCATCTGCTGGCACGACTTTCGTGTTTAAAAGGTTTGGTGAACTGGTATCATTTTTAGGTGTGCTTTCAACAGCCAGGATTTTTTCTGCCTTAAATCTGAGCCTATCTGGGGTTTATTTTTGGAGGAGGGATGTCAGCTCAGAGGCAGAACACTGCAGTCTGCAAAGGAAATCATGCAGGTGAACGTTCTCTCCTGCCACCCTGCAGAAATGGAGGAGTTTAGTGAGCAGCTCCATGGATTTCTGCATCTCATACAGCCTCTACCACATCTATCACATCACCTTAAAGGTCACCACAGCATTCCTGGGAGACTTCCAACACATTTCTTCTCATTATCCCCCCAAACAGTTCTTATTCTGTCTCACCACCCTCAAGTGAAAACACTGCCTGACATTCCCTGCAATTTCTCCCTCCATTGATGAGTTTAACTGGCCAATTCCTTAGTTACTTCCATGGGGATTTCCATTTTTAAGGGATTTTTTGCCAGCCAAAGGCAAATAACCCCTTACCCACACTCTTCTTGCTTTAAATATCAATGATGACAAAGACTTCTGGTTTTTCATCTTCACAGATCTGCATTGCTGAGTAAGTTATGGCTTTGACCTCTGTGCCCTAGGAAAGAGACACAAATCCATGGATTTGCTACATGACATCCTTTCTCACAGTTCATAACATACAGTACTTATCACCTTCCTCAAATGCTACCCAGTTTCACAGCTTTCCTCCCCAAAAAAGCTCTCACTACACTCATCATGATGAAGAAGGAAGTTGATACACTGCTGGTCAGGCCAAACAGTGAAAAGGGAACTGTTCCCTCATTTTATTTCCTCTGGAATAGCACAAATTCCTCCTCTCAGCTCTGACACAACATCAGCATTTGCTGTGCCAGAAAGAGCTGGGAGGGAGATCAGGATTTGCTTCCAGCAGTTCTTTAGGGTTCAGAAACTTCCCCAGAAGGAAGAAGCAAAACCTGATGAAACAAAAGGCTGTGCCAGCAGTGTGAAATCCAAACCCACACACACATTCTGAGTTCAGCCTGGTTTGCTGTGCTTTCAGCAACACAGAAAGGAAGCCAAGTGTGGAGTTGGGGTAATGCTGAGGAAAAGTCATGCTCAGGGCAACAGTTTCAGGAACACATTCATTAAAAAAAACATGCAGAAAGTGAGTTTGGTGATAGATTGAGCCATGTTTCAACTTGGGTCTGTGAATTCAGAGCTCTGATTTAACACCACACCTCCCCATCCCACATGAGAGAGATGGACAGAGGAAACACTGCATACCTGTGGGTGTTTGTCTAAAGAAAACTCTTCTCCCCACCTTTAAAAGCAAAAAGAAGAGAGGTTGGAATCCTGGTAATATTTACCAAGTTTCACTGATGAGCACAGAAGAGTGAGATTTTTCAGTTACAGCCTTAAAGGAAGCAAAAAAATGAAATGCACAATCCACTTTTTTAGATGGTTTAAGCTCACCCAATTGATCTGATTTTGAATTGCATTCGGTCGATGTGAAGCACTTTTACCTCCTGCAGAGAAAGTGAGAGGAGAAATATCAGCCACAGCTTCTATCTTCAGGTAAAAATTCCCAGTAAATCCCATTTACAAGGGTCACATTCCACTGCTCAGATGGAATCTGCAAGCAGATGACCTCAAAGAGACACAATGATGCTTGGAACACCAAGGCAGAACTGCCCCTGATGTGTGACAGCAGCTAAGAATTGGTGTTTGGGGTGGGATTTGTTTCTCAGGTTTTTCTGCCCTGGTAGTTTCAATTCTCTACATGTTGTGCTTAAATGATCTGTTCACAGAATCACAGAATGTTGTGGGTTGGAAGAAAACTTAGTCTGACCCTCTGCCACGGGCAGGGACACCTCCCACCAGGCCAGGTTGTTCCTAGGAACCTGTTCTGTTCCTTTTTATCCCCAAAGTCCCACTGAACTCATTGGTATTATTAGGGAATAGCCTTGTCCTACAAAAGGAAGGAGAGGAAACCAGAACACTCACCCTGGGTATAAAGAACTCATCAGCACTGAATTTATACAGCCACTCATCCAGGAAGTGGAAGAGAAGAGACAACATGTCATGTCCTGTGTGGTTGAAGCAGAGATGTCAGTTGGTTTGCTCAGCAAGAGAACCCAAACACTTTTAAAAGTACATCACATGCACAGCTTGGAAGATTCAGATTAGTGATGCCTAATTAGATTTTAATGAACTGCAGTAACACTACATGTAAAGATGCAGTTTTGGTATCCTTCTCCCAACTCTCCATATTAAAAAAATCCAGGCAGCTTCACCTTCAGCCTCGACCTCCACTGTATCCACAGGTTCCACAGTCTCTGTATCTGTCATGTAGCCAAACATGGCCATAACACACTGCTCAAAGGCTTCTTCCAACGTGTCTCCCCAGGCATGGAGTCTAAAAAGACATGGAATCATTTACTGGACTGTAGCAGAAAGGAACAGCCTCAAAGCAACATGTAGCTGAGCAACCAGAACATGGGAATAATGCAGAGAAGGTGGATGAACAAAGAAACTCGTTTGTCGAGAAAGAGTTTCTTAGGAAAATATTGACAAAAAAAGGTTTTATCAGCCAGGGAAGTTCATTCTTAACAAGGCTGATTGATATCTATGAAAGTATAAACTACACAGAAGAAATCTGGTTTCAAAGGAAGAGATTAAAAGAAAATTTCACATGACATTTCCCACTGAGAGGCTTAGTCAGAAGCACCAAAGGAAAGAGAAAAGAAACCAAAGTGATTCTTTGCTCTCCCCAAAGCAGAAACAAAACCATCAGGACACACAGGGAGTGACATTTCAGGTCCACGAGGTGCTGCACTGCGAACAGCCTCTGACAGCTCCTCCAGGCTTAAAGCAGTGCAAGAACTAACTGAACCCAGAGACAAGTCCCAACTGCCCCACACTTACTGCACATCTGCTGTGTGATCCAGATCTGAGGGGAAAGAAGAAGACAAGGCATGATGTCACCAAAGTGATTTACAAAATGAAGATTACAACAAAACCAGAACATCAATATCTGTTTTTCTAACAAGAACTTTTTGCATTCATCCTCAGACCGATCAATCTGGTTTTAGTCTATTAGAAACACTTGGGAGAGGTGGAATTTTGGCTTCTCTCTGCCAAGCAGTGCTCAATGTGGTGATGTCAGTGCCCTCTGTGCCCAGCTCTGGGCAGGGTTTGCCTGCTGTGACCCAAGAGGCTTCTACAAGCAAACTGCAAGAAAAGGAAACTTCAACCAGCAGTGCAAAGTTGGTGCTGAAGTCTGCAGGACTGAAAATCATCCATGCAGAGCATGAGGTGTGCAAATATTTCCAGCTGAGTGAGGAAATCCAGCTGCCCACACCAAAACCCACCCCCTTCTGCATGTTAGACAAATGAGAATGCAAACCTGACTAACACAGCGTGATGAACACCCCAGTGGATCAGGTTTTACAATGAACATCAGATTTGTCCAGGTAAATGAAAGAAATGCAGAACTGCAGCAGCTTGGCAGAAACAGAACTCATTTGAGATGGAAAATAAATGCCACACTAGGATAATTTCAGCTGGAAGATTGTTCTGATGCTGTTTAGCTCATCCACAACACTATTAATGGATTCTCAACAACAGTCTCTAAAGCAAACAAATTCCACTGGATGTCCAAGAAGAATAAAACCTCTTCCAGTTAAGGAAACTGCATGACTGTGGTAATAGGTCACTGTGTTTCTGCAGTGCTATCAAAGAAAGATCTGAGCATGTCCTAAAAATATCAGTTCTGAGAGAAACAGGCACTGTCCTGACAGAGAGACAGGAAAAAACACCCAGGGAATGGTCTCCTGCCTCGAGTTGGCCCTTGGGCCACCACCCACTCACTTCGGCGCTCTTAGATGACATTCCAGGGGTGAGGAGAGGGAGAGATAATGATCTCTAAGTGGTGCATGTGAGTGAAACCACCACGCACAAAACCAAGAGAGTTTTGAACGTCCGTGTGTGAGAGAGGTAGGTAAATGCTCTCTGCTTTGCTAAAAAATGGCTAGGAAAAAAGAAATTAGCATGGTGAGACTTAACTAATTTATTGCTATCCTTTTTTTAGCACCCAAAACGAGGAAGGTTTTTAGCTGGGAATGGATTTCTCACTTCTATACATCCTGCTCTGTCCCTTGCCCTCAGGACTGCACTGTCACCCAAACACACTGCACCAGGAGGGTGTTGGAAATACTCACACTCATATTTCTTACTCAGGGGAGGGTATTTGGCCTTGACAGCCTTCTGCTCCTCTGTCAGGTTGTAATCCCTCTCATCTGCTGCCATGGCTGTGGGTCCACAACACTCCCTCACTTCTTGGTGGGGAGGAATATCCAGCAACACTCCTTCACTTCCTGGTGGTGAAGAACATCCAGCTACTCTCCTTCACTTCCTGGTGGTGAGGAATATCCAGCTATACTCCTTCACTTCTTGGTGGTGAGGAATATCCAGCTACTCTCCTTCACTTCCTGGTGGTGAGAAACATCCAGCAACACTCCTTCACTTCCTGGTGGTGAGGATCACGGCCACATCCAGGAATGATTCCCCCTCCTGTGGAGAATGGGGAGAATTCCTCTGAGTCCAGGCTGGCACCTGAGAGCAGCTAGGGAACACACACACACAGGCTCAGGTATTCCAAACAAGCACTAAATCCATGGGACGTCAGTTTTTTGCTGTCAAACTGGGAAGTGAAGGAGTTGGGGGGTCAATCCCACACTGCTCACCCCATGAGCTGAGCCAGTGAAGCTAAGGGATTGCATTCCTGATGGGAATGGTGGACTTTGGCCCTTTGCTGGGCAGATCCATGTTGCTTCCTTGTGGCTGTGTGCCCTGAGCATTTCATTCACCCAGGGGAGAGAAAATATAGCTGTGAAATGAACTCAACTTTCCTGCCTTGGGTTAACTGCTGAACTTCACAGCTGAGGGAGCTCAACCCACACCAACCTGAAGTGTCACTGCCTCCACAAACCCCTAGGTGTGACCCCACAGGGGATTTTCCTTTAGGGAAAAAAAACCCAACCAAAAAAAGCTTCTTTTCCTCTTAGGTCAAGGATTAGATTTGAACCTTCAGACTTAGAAGTATGTGCATGGCAAATCCAATAAGTTTAGGGTTTTCCTGGACGCATTTTCATGATGTTATAAGTAAAACAAACAACTAAGAGCTGCATCAAATCCTTTTTTAACAGCCTCATTCTCAGACCTGCTCTCAGCAGTTGCTGTTCCATGCAAACATTTGCTTGTAAATCCAACAAACTGAAGAATCTGATTAACTTCAGGCAATTAATGACCCCTCCTCACATTTCCAGGTACAATAAGCATCCTCACCCTTTAATTTTGTTACTATAACATTTATCCCAGCTGAGCTCAAGACTTTCCCAACTAACACAACCCATAGACTTAGACCTATCACCTAACACAACTCCTTTCAAACAGGAGCTGCTTTATTCCATGGCTTAGAAACAAGACCTGGGATGGATAATGTCAATTTTCAGGTAGGTATGGTGCAAAGAGAAGAGTGAAATGAGAAACTAAAGCTCTTCTTGGGGAAAAAACCCAGATATGGATCAGATATTTGAATACACACAGATATTGATAACTGAGTAAACCCAGATATTGATCAGATACCTGAATAAACCCAAATACTGATGTGATACCTGAATAAACAGATATTGATCAGATATTTGAATACACACAGATATTGATAACTGAGTAAACCCAGATATTGATCAGATACCTGAATAAACCCAGATACTGACGCGATATTTGAGAATTACTCGATTTTTAGACCTGTTAAACCTTAGCTGTGGACAATCAGGCCCCACCTCACCCTCAGAACCACCAAACACTACGGCGCTCTCTGCAAAGCACTCTATTAGAGGAAACCCCCGAATCGATTAGCGATTATAAACAACTAACAACGCCGCAGCAAGCTAAGGACACAAACCACTATCCTGGGGGGGGAAGAGCGAACCGAACCTCAACCCACACACGCACCCACGCGAGTCGGTCCCGCTGGGACACTCCACCCACAGCTGTGGCGACTAGAGGAGGATCCCTCCCCCTCAGGAAGCGAGCCCCGAGCCCGGAAGCCCTGAACGTCGCCTCAGCCGCC